ACAGAGGTGAGACTGACTGGTCTGTAGTTACCTGGATCTTTCTTTTTTCCTTTCTTAAAAATGGGGTTTCTCTTTCCCCTTTTCCAAACAGCAGGAACTTCCCCTACTGCCATGACTCCTCAAGTATGATGGATAGTGGCTTAGCAACTTCGTCTGCTCTTAAAGCTATTTTTACAAATAGGTCAGCATAATTTAGAAATATTTGGATTTAACCCAAAATCTACTAAATTAAAGCAATCACGTATTCTGTAGAAGTGCATAAGTGGTGTTCTCATACAAGTCTCAAGGCATTCGAACGTATAAAGAATTCCTCAACAGCCAATGCTGAGCACACCATTTGCCCAGGCACAATCCCAAACACCCAAATTAGGTTCCTGCTCCGAATCAGGTGTTTTCATTTCTTTTCTGACTTTACAATGAGTTTAAGGGACTAACCTTCTTTTGCCCAAAATGCACTTCTGTAAACACCCTGAACTTTATACTTTGGGCAAGAGTACATGCTTTCCCTCAGATAACATAGAAGGGCAAAAAAACAAACAGGGAAATGTTTCTCCCTCTACTACATTTCCATCAAAGCTCAGAAAAAAACCCAAAGGCCAAATGCCTGTTTAGCTCTACACCATAAGAATTTCAAGCATGAGATGGCAAGTCCACTGAAAATTTACCAGTAACCCACATTAAAAAAGCTGGCTCATTCTCCTTCTCTTTTTAATTGCTAAATAACCGTTAAATACTTCTCTAACATAATATTTTCCTACAAACTGCTCCTGTAGCTGTCTCAGTTTTTCTTATAACGGAACAGGAAAGATCTGTACAATCACAACTGGAAAGTGTCCTACAGGTCTAATACGCACTGCGAAAAGCTGGAAAACCCTTGCTTCAAAGAAATAGTGCTTTCCACCAAGCTCTTACAAAAATTACCCCGTTTATAATTTAAGAGGACAATCAAAGCAATTATTCTGTCTTGATCATTATTCAGTTCTTATTATTTTGCATTACTTCATTCCCTTTATAGCAAAACCAATACTTATTCATCAGGATGTAAATAACATACATTCTTCTGAACAGGGGCCAGATTAATTGTGGTTTGTGGTTTTTTTTTTTTTTTAATTAAGGTTTATTTTATATTCTTTGTGAAGTATTTAATAAGCAGTCACTCCTCTTTATCTGCTCAGTGAAAGGAAAAATGATCCCATTCCATACATTTGAAAAGAGATGCTTTATGATAAACGCCAGGACTTAAGAAACCAGAAGTACCTCTTACTGTTCCAATGAATTCTTCCAAACGTTGCAGAAGATCAGCATCTCTTTCAAAGTCATAGAAGTGGTGTTCTACCCAGTGTCGACACACATTTAAGACTCTGCAAAAGTAAAGGATAATTAAGCACAGTACAGAACAGCCTATCTTCATGTCTAGCATTGCAAGGCTTTTAGTAGGTGAGGGCTCACAGAAATATCAGAATCAGGAGACAAAATGCAATTATTCTACTGTCTGCATTTCACCAGCAACCAGCTACAAACATTTTTCTCCTTTAAATTTAACGTCAGAGTAATGCTATTGTTCATAAGAAGAATATAATCTAAAATGTTCTCTGCCTAAATCTTTGTGGCACATTTATGCTGTATAGCCTTGCAGAAACATGGATTAAAAAACATAAATGGTGAGCGTAAGAAACTAATTTGCACACTAATAGTAAAACTCAGCACAAGCCTTTCCCAAGGCTCTTTATGCCATGAACTCAAATTCCTTCCAGGTATTCAAGCAGCGAGGTCTGACTGCCCACACACGCCCTCTATCAAAGCATCTACAAGAAAGGCTGCTGATATCACAAAGAACCACTGCAGCCAAAAGATGGTACTTCAAAAGACTTAAAGGAAGTCGTTTTGGCTCACACTGATGGAATACTCACCGTAGCTGCACAGGCTGAATGTACTCTTTCCTAAATCTTTTTAGCTCTGCACTAAGAGGCTGGTCTCCATTCTCCATAGCAATACGATCAGCTTCCGTTGGCTCAGGTTCTGGAATTTCAAATCTAGCACAGAAGATGTTTATAAGCGCTAGGCTCCTATCACACTAATTTTGCTCACAGCATGCACAAATAAAAGGTTGCTTAAAGATAGCTGGAAATTCAGAACATTTCCACACATCAGAATCTTACAACTTGGTTAAATTCGCTAAATTCAACAATACAGATTTCAAAGCCAAAACCATGGTATGCTGGAAGGTACTGGAGCTACCTGAACAATCCTAAAGCTTCTGGATATAACTCGCACATTTTACTTGCAATGCTTGAATTTGATAACTTTTAAAAAAGTGTTTCGGATGAATCAAAACCAACTGGAAAACAAGAATCTTACAATCTCTACTCCAAGTAGAAATTAAAAAAAAAATTTGCACTTTGTATGAACAATATTTTTAACAGTGGCATACCTTTCTATTAGCAGACTCAGCAACTCTTGAGGTTTACAGAAGGATCTATACGTTGTGAGAAAAGTCCGAACAAAGTTGGGATCTAAAGCAAAGAATAATTTTATGCTCATGTCAGCAATTACCTCATTTTTTTATACTTAAAATAACTTTAAGCATCCTCTAAAATTAAGGATGCCAACCCAGCAATTTAGAGAGATGACGACATAACCCAAAATTGCAACACAAAGCAGAATTTAAAAACAATTTTTATTCTGTTGAAAATTCAAAATAATTACTTTTTTCTTTCCTTTTGATTTTTAAAAGACTGTATTCTTTTTCAACAACTTTGAAGATAACAAATAGATGATTTTATTTATGAGCCATCTAGTAAACAACTTTGGTTTTGACAATGATCAGGACAAGATAACTGAAAAGACACAGCAAACAACTTTGCATGGGGTAGAAATGGCCTCCTTAAGGGGAGAGTGTTTCCCCTAAACCTTACAACAGATAACTAGTTGTGGTTAAGGCAGACTAGGTATTTCCAGCTAACCAACATCTATACTTTGAGGTTATTTTATGTCAAGAAAATCAACAGATCTCAATTAAATTGACTAATTACGTATCAGTTAATTTAAAATATTCAAAGCATTTTCAAAACAAGCAAGTATTCAAACCAGAAAACCAAAGTGCCTCCCTTAATTCCAAAAGCAAACCCATTTGTTTTCAAGTAGGAGGAAATGCAGTGACAACCCGCTGGCGCTCCACAGAACTGACTGGAGACAAGGTTAACATTGTGATTGCTGAACAAAATGAGCAGCTTGCAATGGGCTTTGCATAGGAAATCCATATTCAGATTTTAAAAACAAACCCCAATTGGTAATTTTTCTAACACAGAGTGCCTGAAGAGGACCACACAGGGCTTGAAGCACGAGTTCCTATGGGCTGCAATGAAGAAAAAAACCACCTGGGCTATTTGACCTAACACTATATGAAGCCATTAGACTTCTATCCTGGAATACGGGTTTTTAAGAGCTTTTTTAACAATTCTCCTTAACTATTTACCAGCACCTTGTCCATCTGAGAGAACATTCTAACTTTCTTAGATCCTACTAAGCTCTTCATTTGGGCAGCAGTTTCCTGTAACGTGCTGCAGAGGTTAACTATGCGTTGTGTTAACACAGCCTTTCCTTGCATTTCTCTTCTATGCTAATTCCCATTTTTTAAACAATTAGCTAGTCCGCTTTACCAACTCTATGTCCTTCACTAGTCTAGTTTTCTTATCATCTCCCCACCTCTCCTTGAAACTGATACAGTCGATAAATCCTTTTCAAAGGCAAAACTCCAAATCCTTTTGCAGGAAGAATGTCATCCCTGTCCCCATCATCTTCATCACGAAAATACACAATTTTTGTTGCCCAAAAAAACCAAGTATAGAAGTAAACACAGTAATTCATGCTTTCACAGCTTGCATTCTGTACACAGATTTTGTGTACGTGAGAAAGCCTCCATAGCAATTAACGCTTTCAGATCACTGCAAGCTCTGAGTCATAGCTATTGTTATTTACAGGTAGGGTTAGTGTTTAAATCCACAATACATACTGAATTTCAAATGAAGTAGACCAGAAAAATCAAATCTAACCTTATCATCTTACTAGCAAAATCTGTAACTCAAAATAGTGTACAATATATGAGCAAGCATTAAAAAAAATAGAGACAACACTAGTTAGTCAGGATGTCTGCTCATGTGATAATTCTCTCTTCAATACAGCTAATTTGAAAGCTAAAAAAGAACAATAACTTGTTCTACAAAGATTTATAAATAATCACCCTTGAATTCCTTAAGAAAGGAAACGGACACTATGATGACGCACAAGCACTCTTAACATATCAAAGCTTTAAAAATAGAAGAGCGCTGCCCTATAGACAACAAAAAATGGCCGTGAATTTCAAATCTTGGTACCACCTAACCCAGCTGCTCTTAAAACAAGAATCAGACAAAGGAGGAGATAATGAACACAGAAACACAAGAAAACAAGTAAAATCCACCAGAATATGCAAATAGGGTCAGAACCTAAATTTCCAATCCAAGGGCACTTTATCTCATGTAAAAACACATGTAAAGCTGCTTTTGCAGAGGAGATTTCTCCTCTTTTTGCTGCTCCACCACAGGATGGTTTGGCCAGTCTGCCGCACGTTGTGGCCACGTGGCTGTCAGGGCTATCTACCTGTCCTAGCTCTCAGGTGCCTGGATGGCTCCTACCCCTCCCAGGGCTAGGATCTAGGCTATCGGGCGGTCCCTGTTCCACAGTGAAAAAGAGAAAATATTTCAGCTGATAAACTGGTTTGTGTATGGTCAGGGGGGTGAGAGAAAAAAAATAACATGTTCAACATACACATCTAGAAATGAGATGGACTGTGTGGATCTCCACAGACAACTGCATCTAACTAAACTGCTCTTCAGCTACTTGCAACAAATTGGTACCGCTTCTGCAATTATATCTCAAATTATTCCTTATAGTATTTGACCCACAAAGATAAAAACCTAGAGAATAGTCACAGTTATGGTAAATACTGCCTTTAAATCAAGGGCTGCCATAATCTGGCTTAAAAAGTCCAATTCTTTTAAGACTACAATCATGCACACACAATCCTACATGGGGTAAGAAAAGCACTTCTACAATCTGTAACTCTTTGGCTAGATATCACCGTAGTACTCATCTTCCCACCTTTTCAAGAAAAACAGAAGCCTTGAACGCATCTGAAACACGTGCAAAAGAAGAGCTAAACAAAGGGTTACTATGGAAAGTTGTTGCCCTGCTCACTGCATCTCATAAAATGCAACAAAACACTGAATATTTTACATAGTAAATGGACCTTGTTTCCTGTACAAGAGAGCACATTTGGCCGAGTCACTATATCTGTTTCTTTGTTCCACTGGAAAAGACAGCACAGAATGCTTAGAATGACAACATTTTTTCCTCATAGAAAACCAATTTTACAACAGAAGGTAGAGAATGAAAGATAAGGGAGTTGAGAAATGGTGTGCAACCTAGCAATTCAGTATCAGGCCCACCTATGTTGCACTAAGATCTTTAAGGCTACAAAAACAGGCTAAATATATCACAAGACGATAACTTTCATTCCTTTGGTCAAAATCTTTCTGCCTATCTCACAAATACATTCTCAGTTTTGTCATACAACAGTTTGGTCAATGTCACACACACCTACAACATCAGGCTTCAAGCAACCTACTTAAAGCTTTAGTAAGCAGGGGCTGTAAGAAGCAGAGATTGAAATGACTGTGGGTGAAGAAGGATCTAATCAATCAATCTGAATTCTTCCTTGATATACTAGGAAGGCCAAAAACACATGCAGATGCAAGAAAACAATGCAAGAGACAAGGCACATGTTCCTTAAAAACAGTCCTTTCTGTTTTATGGAACTGGAGAATGTAGTTTGTGGCTCCCTGGGCAGAGATGACATGTGGGGAGCACTGTTATAGCACCCGGAGCAATGCCAAGGGATGGCACCAAAGCCTCAGCACATATGGAAAGAGCAATTCTCAATGGTGCGCAGGTTAGCCAGAGCAAATGTTTACAAAGGAACTAACAAAGTATTATTTTTGCTAATACAAATTATGCCAAATACAATGCTAGCTTAAAAAAAAAAGTGTCTTCCTTTCTCCAGGTTGAATTGTTTTATTTTGACCTCCAACACCATAAAATTATGTTACGAATCACGCCTGTAAAATTTGAAGCCAAGAGCTAAAAGTTGACAAAATTACAAGAAAATTAAGAAAGGCACAAAACTGCTCTGCTAAAAACTGCCGGCATGATATTGCATTTGGGTTTCTAATAAATGTTACAAAAGCTCAACTGAAGGAAATGTGGAGAGGAGCAATAAAAGCAATGGAGAAAACAGATGTATTTACAAGCATTTTAAAAATAAACAGGAGTACTAAACTACACTACTTATATTCTGCTTACTCCCCACTTCTTCCAAGCAAATATTCCTGGTCTACGCAGGGTATCCAGGACCAAGCTGCAGAAGAACAATTGAGCATAATCAGTGCGTAAAGAGTAAAAAGAAAAATCTACAGTTGAACTTGAGCAGCACTAATATAAATATTTAGAATAACTGACATACAGGTGGAATCAAAAAGATTAAAAAAATAAATCAAAACCCCAAACCCAAGCCAATGCTTTTCAGGACAGCGTATTAAAATCCTGGTAAATTATCAAGAAAAACGCCACACACTGAGGCTGGACCGGATGATCACGTAAAAGCCTTCAATGTATCTTCAACACAAACAGAAACAAAGTCCTTAAATCAAATCCCCACTGAAATTCTGACTAAGACAAAGTTCTGAGACCAAATTATGTAAGTGATTGCTTCTAGAAAGCTCATATTTGGTCTTTTCATAGACACAGGTAATAGCTGACGGATTACCACCCTAAACTGAAAACACCGGGCCCATAAATTCTGTCTCGCAATGCTGACGCTTCATGTGCTACCCAGCTTTGGAAGTCTCAAGGGAAGGCAATTCTTGCGGTCTGGAGCGTACAGGAAAAAGTATTGTCTAGAGCTCAATTCTTGCAGGCCCCCGCACCCCCATCCTTTGCATGAGAATAACCTTACGCACACACATACCTCACTATGTTTAGCCAAACAGGATTCACATTTTTAACTGCTACAGCTACAGAAATGCATCTTTAGATTCCCACACCTTAACTCAAAAACCATGTTAGAATACGTGCACTGCAAAGCATATTGGCTCTCTACACACTTTATACATTTTGCTGCATGCATTTAACACAGAAAGAGAAGCATAAACTAGTCACCACCTGAGTTTTCACTATGTAAATGAAGTGCCTCACCTGCATACATGTGGTAAGTCAGCCTCTCAATGAGCTTGACAACAGTTCCTGCCTTGATGATGGGGATTCCAGATTTGGGCTGCATGTTTTCTTCAAACACAATATTCTCTTCCGAGTCAGGTTCTGCGAATCTATAAAGCTCAGGATTTGGAAATCTCATCTGCTCCTCTTTTTCTTCCTGCAACATGGTTACATCCAGCATCCTTTCCAGAGTGCTTCTATATTGCAAAGATATCAATGCTGCCATCCAGTTGTTTTTCTCTTCAGCTGATTTAGCAGCAAAAATAACACTGTTTTCATCTTTTAAGATGATTTCAAAAGCATGTCTGTACTCACTAGTGTCGTCTTTATCGTTGATTTGTACCTTTCGCATGAAGAACTTTTCTTTTAGACGATATTCTGCATTGCTAGCACCAGGAAGTCTTGGCTGGCCGTGATTTGACTTACAGCAAATCATCAAGCCATCAAATAGAAATATGTGTCTCTCATGCTTTGCTCCTACACGCGTGAGTGTTCCTTCCATGATGAACTCATTACAGCATTGTCCAATGTCCTTTCCCTCCCAACCATCAATATTTTTCTGGATTTCATTCATTTTCTTAATTGCTAGCTGTTTCCCCTTCATCTGCTGAGTATAGAACCGGCATGCAGATTCACTTCAGTGAAGGATGGGAGAAAGGCAGCCTGTTAGTATACATGTATTTAAAAAACCACAACCACCACTTAACAGCAAAACCACAAGATCATCTTTCTGAGTGGTGAGAACTCCACCGAGAATGCAACTTCAGCACTCAATATCAACATCATTGCAAGCCTTAATTAATGTTTCTTATAAGTATCTCATCTGATACATTTTCTACTTCTATGCAATAAATGTTTTACCTAAACACAGGCAAGCTGTTAGCGCTTCTTAGCCTAACAAACCACTCGTTTCCATAGCTGACAAACAATTTTAGACTGCATGAAACTGAAAGAAGCACATTCCAAGAAAAGAAGCTGTTAAATGCATTAGTGCCCATGCCTAAAGAACTTTGCAGCACAGAACTTGTTTTGCAAAGAAAAATATTCAAACGATTTGAAGAACAAAAGCAAAGTTTTAACAGATTTGAATAACTGCACAAATATCAGCATGAAACCAAAGAGGAGATTGTATAGTCTAGTAATTTGCTACAACAGTGCAACTAAGTACTAATTATTTACGCATCTATTCCTACTATCCAGGGGTAATTTTACCTAGCCATTGCACAAAAACCTCTTCAGATTAAATCATTTCAAATTCAAGAACATTCCCTTCTAATCACATTGAAATGTACTTCTACAATATTTTTAGGTGGATATTTATAATCTGAGCATAATTAACCCACAAATGCCATAACTTTCTACTTACCAGTGAATTCTCAGAACGTCTCAACCACCAGTACACAAGGACACGTAGAAATTAGAATGGTTTTAAAACAATAACAAATTATCTTGGCTTTGATGTCACTTCCTCTGAAAAAGCAGGCTTGTCGCAAACTATTTTGTTCATTGTTTACTAAAAGAGGAAACTGGGAGCCCTGGATTTATAGCAAAGCATTAAGAGCAAAAAGCAAGAAAAATGGAAACATGTTTACCTAAGCCTTCGTTTTGCAAGACTTTTGGAGCATATCCGTTCCATACTGCTTTGAAGATTTAGTAGGGCAGTTATTGCTTGCTTTAAGCACTCTTTATCTTCTTCATCCTCACTTTTTTCTTCCAATTGCTGTGAACATTGGAAGTCAAATACAAAAAAGCGTTACAAGCATTTTGGTATGCGCAAATCCTAAAGTTTGGCCTAGGAAGAAGAAATCCAGCCATCTACTGATTTTGCATGCTCCTGCTTGTTATTAAAGTTAATGGAATAATCAGGTGCACTACTGACACAGGCAAGAGAGACAATTATCTGCTAACACTTAATTCAGTAAAAAACAAGCAGCAGTTATTGGACCTCCAGATACAGACGCACTCAGGCACATGTTATTTACCTCAAAACTAGTTCACCTTACATCTCCAAAAAAGAACCCATCAGAGGTGTTAAATCTTAAGAAGAACAAGCAAGGAAGGAGATCTCCATACATACCATACTGGAGCACAAGATCAAATCTGTATGTTTGGAACATGTATGCACACTCCTAGAACAGGCAAGCTGGACTGAAAGCTAAGCAAAATACCTTCATCGCATTTTTAAACAGAAGGTTACAAGGGCTCTCACCTCACTAACAACAGTCTAATCAATAATTCAGGTTGAAAAGGATCTTGGAGGTGACCTTATCCAACCTCCAGCTCAACTGCAGAGCCAAGACAGAGCGGGTTGCCTAGGGCTATATTGAGTTTTGAATTGTTCTCAGGATGAAGAGGCCACAACCCTTCTGGACAATCTGTCCAACGTCTGAAATCCCTCCTGGTGAAAGTATTTCTTCCTAATAGCTTATCAGGATATCCCTTATGGACTTTTCACAGTGGAACACATGGAAGCGCTATGCAGTCGCGAGAAGAATATCTCTGTCTTCCCCGCCTCCTCACACAAAGACAGCAGGAAGGCTTCCTCTCCTCCTTAGCCTCCTTTTCTCCAGAACAAATAAGCCCACTCCCCAGCTTCTCCTTCATCACGTGCTCCATTCCTCACGTCACCTTGACGAGGCCTTCCAGTGGGCTTGTTTCAGCACACCACTGTCGAAAGGAAGCCCTAGCTGGATGCAGTTCTCCAGATGCAGCCTTGCCAGTACCGAACAGGTAGGCACTGCCGCTTCCCTCACCCTGACAGCCACACACTTGACAATACAGCCATAAAGGCTTCGTTCTTGCAAGGGCGTTCCGCTGGCATCTGTTCAGCTTATTATTCACCACAACTGTGTTTTTTTTCATGTAAAAAAAGCCAAAAGGGAAAACCAATAACTCGAAGGACAGCGAGGAAGAGTAAATGTTGTTCCTCCATGGAGGGGTTGCTTGTCTGTTCATCAGAAAATTCAGGGGCATCTAACCATGGCCAGCTTGTAAAACCAGGGTAAGCAAGTCCCCATCTGAGTACACACCTACACGAATGCCTGCATTTACTAACTCAAGTTTTCTTAAAGGACAAAAAAATATAATGAAGTTATAAGCTAAAACTAGATGAGAAGAGTTAACACTAATATTTTGTGCCTATCACTGTGACAGATAAGTTTTATTAAACAAGATCTGCCATGTTTTTATCCCAAGACGTTTAAGATTTGAATCTTAAATCTTTGTTTAAGGATTAAAATGTTTCACATTATTGTTAGTGGAAAAAAATGTTGACTACAGCTGTGGCTTAGACATAAAACTGAGATAACAATTATTTACAGGATTATTAACAGACAAGTGTTTCAGACTATTATACACCAAGAAGTGGCTCCACACAACTGAAAGATTTGTTTTGACAGATGTGGTAAAAGCAAAGCGATAGGTTGGCATGGACCAGAATAACAGACATCCTTGGAAACAGTACAATTGTGCTGTTTGCTTCCAGTGTGAAATGTAACTACTGTCCTCCAAAATCCAACTGAATACAACATATCCATGTTTGACATTTGAATGGGTCACAGAATAGCATTAATTTTTTCCCTGACCAGAGTTAATCATTCAGTGCAATAGCTGTTAATGTCAAAGACTACTCTATTTGTGTTTTCAGCCATAAAGATCATAGAATCATAGAATGTTTTGGGTTGGAAAGGACCTTAAAGATCATCAAGTTCCAACCCCCCTGCCATGGGCAAGGACACCCTCCACTAGAGATGACCACAAGTTTTATTCCAGGCAGCTTTAATTCACGTAATCTGTCATACCCTTGACCTAAGTGGCATTAGGCATCAGTGCCTATTCATGTGACACCCACTGAAACAGGGCTGACAATGCACCACAACAGACATTACTTCCCAAAAGGTCTCAGGGAGAATACATCGCTCGAAGAAGGAGCAGCAGACTGCCCTCGCCATACTCCTCTACTCTCTAGATTTAACACAGAGGTATCATCTTCCTGCTTTCTGCCTCATTTGTGCAGATCATATAGGTTTAGAGAGGACTGTCCTGGTTTACGTCCTCATTGAGATGCTGGAGCAGGTCCAGAGAAGGGCAACGGAGCTGGGGAAGGGTCTGGAGCACAGGGCTGACGAGGAGCGGCTGAGGGAGCTGGGGGGGTTCAGTCTGGAGAAGAGGAGGCTGAGAGGAGACCTCATCACTCTCTACAACTGCCTGAAAGGAGGGTGCAGTGAGGGGGGTGCTGGGCTCTGCTCTAAAGGAACAAGTGATGGGACAAGAGGAAATGGCCTCAAGTTGTGCCAGTGGAGGTTTAGGCTGGATATTAGAAAAAATTTCTTCACTGCAAGAGTGCTCAGGCATTGGAACAGGCTGCCCAGGGAAGTGGTGGAGTCACCATCCCTGGAGGGGTTCAAGAAACGTGTAGATGTGGTGCTTGGGGACATGGGTTAGTGGGTTAGGTGGGGTTGGGTTGACGGTTGGACTTGATGATCCTTGAGGTCTTTTCCAACCTTAATGATTCTATGATTCTATAACTTCAGACAAATGAGAAGGTGCAGCACCACTGGCAGAAGCTCTGAAAGAAAGCTAAGAAAAACATGTAACTACCCTTAAGATTTTGCATCTTTCCTGCACAAGAGTTCAAAGAAGGCTCTTTGTCTATCAGACTGCCTCTTTGCCAACTTCCAACAAAGAGTTTGGCTCGATTTCCCATCACCTCTGGGTAGCTACCTTTCAACAACGGACAAGATTGTTTCAGCCTAGTCTCCTTGAAAACAAGCCTTATTCAATTCTACAATATTCTACTATTTGCTTGTAAGGGTACCACAGGAGACAGGGTAAGGAGCAAAAGACACGTAAACCAGGACAAAATTGATGAAAATTAGGCTCAACATGCAAAAAAGCTTATGAAATTATTTCCTAATTTTTAACACTGTCTATATAACCCAAATTCTCCAGTCAAACGAACACAGATGCACAGTGCCTAGCACAAGGCAGAACAAAAATGGTCCGTATCCCAAACGGTTTTTTGAAATGTGGAAAAACATCAAAAGAAACCCATGCAAAAGTAAGCTAATGTGTATAAGGGGAGCACTAAACCAAATAAACAGAAAAATAAATCCCTACAAAGTAATCGGGAATTTTCTCAATGTAGTACCTTACCGACTCAAACACCTGTAAAAAAAACCTCCTTGTACATTCTCTTCAGAAACACACTGGTACAGATTAAAGTTCATTACTGCAAAGCGTTCTGCTCCTGTGTTGAGTTTATAAAATGCTTTTTACAACAAATTCTCTCCAGTTGCAAAAATTTTGGTATTCATCACACAAAAGTCCATATCCAAAAGCAAACGTATACATGGTTGTATACAGTGCTGGAGAGAAAGCAATGGTTTAAGACTAACGTCTCCCCATCAAGATCCACTGGAAGTAACCCGTCTTTCCAACTGTATATCCAAACGAAATCGAAGTACAGTGAGAGTAATTTTGCTCCAGGTTTAACACTTAGAAAGCAGTGCAGAGAAGTATGCATCTTATGTGTAAGACCAACACAAATGGCAAATCAAATAAGTGCTCTGAACAACTGAGACGACATTTCTCTGCAGACAGAAAAGGAATTTGAAAGTTTATATTTTAGCACTGTATAATTGATGCAAACTATCACAAACAGTCTTAGAACTGAGCTTAAATTACAGCAATGACTTTCATCTTACATTGCCCCCAAGACAGTTCAGAAAAGGAGGTTAAAATGAAATGGCATCACTGGAAACTAGCATCCAAGTTTCTCTGCAAATCCCACTGATTCTTCTATAGCTGTGCAGTGCCCCCTAAAGAACAGACCAGGTAGATGTTAAAACAAGTGTGGGTTTTGTTTTGGTTTGTTTTGTTACATAAAGTGTCCTGAGAAGCATAGTATATTATTATGAGAAGGAGGTGCAGATTTCTGAGTAGTATTATAGTTGTCATGGTTTTTAATAATCTTCTGAGAAGATATTGGTTTATAATGATTGTAATGATTCACAGTACTATAGGTGCAGTTTCCTGGCCATTCAAGGAAAACAAACTCAGAAAATAGACTGCTAAGAGAAGTTTCTAACTAAAAAAGTACTCTACATTCTAGGCTGCAAGCTCTGAAGAGGTATCAAGAAGTGAAAGACAAGGTTTTTTTTTTTTTCTACCTGTTGCATAACACAAAGATTAGATAGTTATAAAACCAGGATATTCCAAACAGATACAAAAGAAATCCTCCTCACGCAGTGCAAAATTAAGACTACGGTAGTCCTTCTCTTACGCTGTCAGGGAAGCATCTATCTAGAAACACAATGACAGAAAATACACATGATGAGAACAGGCAGGTACAACGATACTAGTAGGTGTAACAATGGGTATAAAATCTTATACTTCAGGGCTTACGTCACAATCTAGACTTCTGTCTTCCTAGAATATTATTCTAAATCTAACCACTGAAATTTGTGACCTGTAGGTTCCCCAGTTCATCTGGGAGGAAAGACCACAAATCAGCTTCTATACACAAAAGACACAATAGCATATGGCAGGGAGGGAAATCACAATTGAATTTGCTTCACTTAAGGTCACTTGATTGTAGGTGCTAACGATACTCACTGCCCCTCAAAACATGAGTCCAAGTTTAGTGCATTAAGTGGTCCCAGGTTACAGGTGGAAGCTGCCACGCTGCACTACTTGCAACAATGTGCTCGAACTCGTGCT